CCCGGGATGGGAAAGTTAAGACGCACATAAACTGGAAAAGGTGCAAAGACATGCTACTAAGTGGCTCCCAGAACTGAAAGGCAAGAGATACGAGGAGAGGTTAGAGGCATTAAATATGCCAAAACTAGAAGACAAGGAGAGAAAGAAAGAGGAGAGAGAAAAAAAAAAAAAAAAAAAAAAAAAAAAAAAAAAAAAGCGATATGATCACTACATACAAAATAGTAACAGGAATTTATAAAATCGATAGGGAAGATTTCACGAGACCTGGAACTTTAAGAACAAGATTTCGTAGATTTAAACTAGGTAAACACAGATGCCGAAGAAATAAGAAAATTCACTTTCACAAACAGAGTGGTAGACGGTTGGAACAAGTTAGGCGAGGTGGTGGTGGAGGCCAAGACAGTCATTAGTTTCAAAGCGTTATATGACAGTGCTGGGAAGATGGGACACCACGAGCGTAGCCCTCATCCTGTAATTACACTTGGGTAATTACACACAGTATAGGCAGGCATGATCATTTCCCCCCCCCCCCCCCCCAATAGCTGCAGGTTTACTGCTGCACTGCACATTGCAGCTTTAGGTCATTATTAAGTACAGGGAATAATTTAAGATGACCGAGTACACGGTACTCTCATCCTGTGCCTTGGGACTAAGATGCTATAAACACAGGCAGAAGTTATCTGCATCCCTACTGGCAAGCCGCAGTACCGAGAAAGGTACCAAGGCTGGCTTATGCAACAGTTCACAGTACTGCTGAGCAGCTAGGGGCCACAGCACCACTTAATAAAAAAAAAGTAACCGAGTAGTTTGCAGGGATAATGTCAGATGATATCGACCGATTAAAGCTATGCACAACATTGATATTAAAAATTTAAAAAAGGCCAGGAGCTCAAAAAGAGCTCAAAAATCTTTGAAATATGAATAGTGAAAACTTTAAAACCAAATCTCTTTTTTAGTATCACCGTTGAAATTTTTCACATTAAGAAATGAATTTTATACAAATTTATACAAGTGCATAACCAGTATTGATGATACTGGTTATGCACTTTTTAACTAGGTTATGATAACACCACCTAGTTAGTGGAACTCTTGCATAATTCAGCGATAAGAGATACAAGAATCAGTCCGACGCACAAAATAATAATTTTAGTAAGAAGGATCCACAGGGTGGATATGCAGCCAATGCCTTCTAGGATTGCCACCTGGAGGGCAAAATTTAACAAATAATAATGAGCATGTTGCTGCATTTTATTCTATATTTTATAAACGTAGCAAAATGCCATTATTTCTTATGCTCCCCCCCTTTCTTTTTTTAATAGAAGCACCATTATTTTTAGCATAGTAATGTTCTACATTTTACTGTAGAAATTCCCCAAATTGCACACTATTTAGCAATATTACTGGAGAGAAAAAATTATGCAAAACAATTTTACAGCAACGCTCACCGCACTGTTGGGTTTAAGTACACTGGTAAGTGTCAACACCTGAACACTGCCAGACCTACTCACATCACTGCCAAAGGAACCCTACCATAAAAAAATCTACAGGAGAAAAGTTTGCTACTCGAGGCCCTGCGTCTAAACTCTGCTCCTGCTCATCCTCCATACTTGGAGGATTCATTGTTGGAGCTAGGAAAAGGGGGGAATTTTAGAAAATTGTGGCCCGAATGTGTTCCAAAAACAATGAGACCAAGGGGTTTGAGCCTGAACCTGCAGTGCCTCTTAACTTTTTTCTCTAGGCCTGAAATTGGGCTTCGAGTTGGATGGTGCTGATGGAACAGTTAAAAAAACTGACCACCGAAGAACTCTTAGCCTTTCACAAGGAGCAGCAACAAGAGACAGACCTAAGACAGTGTCTCGTCCTAGGTCTTTCATTTTGGTATCAGTGTGTTTGCAATAGAATTCCCTACAGGAGTATATGCAAATATAAAGTCCAAATGCCCGGCGTACCACCCATAGCAAACAGAGAAAGTGACAGTGTTACCCGCGCGAGCTCTAATAAAGAGTAATAAAATGGGTATGCTCGTTTCAACTTTGTTATCTCAATTCTGGTCCCAGGTCTTTCATTTTGGTATCAATGTATTTGCAAATAAAATTTCAAGACTAAATGCATATAAATCCCAAAAGACCGGCGAGAAACTGAGAAAATGAGAGCATGCTACATGGGAGCGCACAGGAGCAATAAAATGAGAACACTACACTTAGAACGAGAATTGAGATGTCCTATGTGTTTCACTTTGGTGCAGGCGATGAGTCACAATAACGTGGCTAAAGTAAGTTGACCAGACCACACTAGAAGGTAAAGGGACGACAACGTTTCGGTCCGTCCTGGACCATTCTTAAGTCGATTGTGATGAAGTAGAGACAGGCAATAAATAGGCAAGAGAGGGGTGAGGAGCAAAGGTGTAGTAGAGGGGATAGTAGGAAAACTGCAGAGGGCCCTCTGCAGTTCGTTTTCCTACTATCCCCTCTACTACACCTTTGCGCCTCACCCCTCTCTTGCCCATCCCTACTTCCTCATCACAATCGACTTGAGAATGGTCCAGGACGGACCAAAACGTCGTCGTCCCTTCACCTTTTAACGCCTGGAGAGTACACCCATAACTCACCATGAGAACGTCCTGGTAAGATCAGCCTGTGACCTCAGATTCAGCTAGAGCTGAAATATTTTCTGGCTCCTCCCTAGTCAGCTTGTTCCTGTTTATGAATAACCCTGATGGTCTTTACAAACAACTTAATGGTACAGCTTGATTGCTTTTTTGTACATCATGGGAAGCTGCCGCCCTAATGTGCTAACCAACCATTTAGGTGTGCAAAACACACTTTTTTCGAGTTGGCTGAATCAGCTGGGAACAGGTCCACACCAGACTTTCCCACAACAGTGTAAAATGTTCCCCCCCCCCCCTTCTGATTCAGTTGTATATATACCCCTGTATGATAGGAGACAGAGAGGGCTGGAGTGTCGGAGGTAGTGCGAGGCTGCAGGCGAGCCTCAGGAGACAGAGTGAATCCACCAGACTGAGAGGGGTCTTAATTAAGGTAATGTGTGTGATCTTTAATGCGTTTCCTTGTCTGGATCCCGTAACAATTGCCAGTACTGCTAGTGTTAAAGTAGGGATTTATAGTGGTGAATTTCATAATTTGTTCAATAAACTCATGTTAAACTTCCCATCTGTGTCAATTGTTGAATCCCCTTAGTTTCTGGATATAGTTTGCCAACAACTGTCCCATAATTAATGGGAGTTAAAGAGGACTCTAAGTCGAGCAAGGTTTCTTGCCGTGTTGCTCGATTATAGTTAATGAACAAGGCAGATGGTGGCAGCGTTTTATAATCCTGTGTAGCATTTCCTTTTTGGAAGTGTACCTTTGGTTCCGGTGTAAACCATTAGTGGTACTGTAATATTTGGTGTACACATTTAGCTGGGTTACACTATTAATGTTTTTATTTTCAGTTTATATGTATAGTGGTGTTACATTCTAGTGTGTGGTCTGGTCAACTTCATTTTGGCATCATTGTGTTCGCAATAAAATTTCCTACAAGAGTATATGCATGTAATGTCCAAAACCGCAGCAAGACCTTCCCGAAAAACGCCACTACTGTTGCCATACCGACGACTCAGCATAGTCATCGCCGGACTTGCCCCCGTTTTATGGACGACTCAGCATAGAGTCGTCACCGAGCAAAAGTGTTAAGAAAATGAGTGCAGTATGGGAAGAACTGCAAAGTTTTGCTGAAGACTGGCAGATAAAGCTGTTGCAGGCCATTGTGTTAATCTTTTTAATGACCGATGTCCTTTATTAACACTTTTCTGTAGTAGGTAAAACAAGTGTCTATAGACAGATTCTTGACGAGAATCAGCCGGGGAGCCACAACCAGGCCTTAGCAGTTTGCCTGCAAAACAGTACACCCCAGAAATGGCATCAGTGCCAAATGTTAGAATGGAAAGGGGGGGGGGGGGGGGCTTCCTTCTAAATGCTAACCCCCCCCCCCCCTCTTCCATACACCAACAAATGTCCTCAATAAAGGCTAGGTACCAAGTTTAGTAAAAAAAAAAAAACACACACACACACACACACGAGTAGTATTCTATATAAACTATTACAAGTTATTTTTTCTGTGTAGAACAGATTAATTCAATTTGCATTATTTTTTGTGGGAAAATTAGTTTGGTGTATGGACCTTTGGTGTACGAACTATCTGAATGAATTAAACTTTTAAACCAAGGTGTCGATATTAGAGAGAGAGAGAAAAAAAAAAAAAAAAAAAAAAAAAAAAAAAAAAAAAAAGGGGGGGGGGGACTTTTGGCACACCACTGACATGGCATTAAATTACAGTACAAGGTTAAGGGTTAAATAAGTGCATTTTTTATCCATTATCGAGTGATGCAGCGAGCACAAGCTGCATGGCAGTGTTGCAAGACGTTGCTGCAGTACTGTATGTGCTACTTATGGTCGCTTTCGGTACCGAGGCCCCTCACACCTAGGATTGGTGCCTCAAGTCCCAAGACAGCACCCACTTTTGGGAGGCTCGAGGAAGCCTTATGTCCAAGTACAAGTCTCATGTACCCCCATAAGTTTTAAATCTTGCATTACACCTCTTGGTTGACAGGCACACCAATGAAATGATCCCAATTGCACAGTTGAAAGGTTAACATACTGAACACATCTAGTACTGTAGAAATTCTATAATCATTGAAACTAGCATAAATTCAATATAATGTGCAAATTATAAAGCAAGTAACCTAGCTTATGATTACATTTACAAGTTACTGTATTCCAAAACTTAGATACTCTAGATTAATTTTAAAAATTAAAGTTGTACAACAATAAAACTTTTCCAAACCAATTTAGTATTTCCAACCAAATATGGCATGCATAAAATTGGCAAATAATTTGCACACAGTACCATACCCTGTAATAATAAAACAAAAAATACACAATTACAGAAAGTTTGACAAGTTACTAGACAATATACAAAGTACAGTGAAAATCATTCCTTACTTGACAACCTGGCTATTTATCATTGTTTTCATAGGGGAGGTATGATTGGGTAATGTTGCCATGTCTGCCATGGTGTAATAGCGTGGATCTTTTGTGGGTCCTACTTCAATACTGGAAAATAATAAGATAATACTTGTTATTAGATATAGGTATAAAAAACTAAAATTAAATAAATACTATAGGTTTCACTATAAAAACCTATAACATTTAAAAAGACAAGGTCTAATTACTGCATGAAGTTGAGATTGTAAACTTATTACATGTAGAATTGCAAGTCTAATCCTTCCAACCATTCGTCTTCAAACCTTGCTAAAAAAAAAAATATCTTTACTTCAAAAATCTTGCAAAAATTAGTCAAGATACCATTTGCCCCTTCACAGAGGTATGCATTAAACCATAGTGTAACTATTTCCAAGTTCAATTTACAAGAACCAAGGCTGCTGGTTGGTTTATGGGGTTCCGAGTCTTTTTTTCTCCCCAAGCCAGGACCGAGGCCAGGCTTGACTTTTGAGGGGCATACTTTTGTCAACTAAATATTAACATGGCTAAAAACCAACAGGTATAAATTCTTGTTCTGTATATATAGTCACAGAACATTATTCCAAACTTCAGGGAATAAACAGTAGTGTAAAATAAAATGAACAAGTCCACAAGAGTCGTGATGAGGGTTCGAACTTTCGTCCAGGGTGATCCCAGATGTGCCTTAATCATCTTGGCGCATCTGGGATCATCCTGGATGCAAGTTTGGACCCTCATCACAGCCCTTGTGGGCTTATTTGATATATCACACTATTGTGATTTGTGTATAAATAGTACTGTATTCACAGTAATGTACTTTGATATATAAAAAGCCATTATTAAAGTGAATCTTATTAGGTATGTATTTATCTTTCCACTACTTTTACAGTGTACAATTTCAAACAGAACCACAGAATCAAGTCTAATGAAAAGGCCAAATTACCTGCCATTTACAAATTTAGCCACATGCAGGCTTAAAATCTGGATATGTTCTCTCCTGAATATATGCAAAATACATTGCATACAGCCTGATGGCCGAGTGACAGTGCTCGAAATTCGTAGTCCTAAGGTTTCAGATTCGATCCACGGCAAAGGTGGAAACAAAGGGGCAGTTTTTCATCCTGATGCCCCTGTTTACCTAGTAGTAAATAGGTACCTGGGAGTAAAGACAGTTGCTACGGGATGCTTCCTGGGGTTATTTAACAAAAAGGAGGTCTTGTCGAGGACCAGGCTGCAGGGACACCAAGCTCCAAAATCAAGATGACCTACATATAAACTAAAATTTCAGATCAAACTTCATTTGATCATGTTTATCAGTGGCACAAAGTAGGTCACAAGCTACACAAGTGACCAACCTCCCCCAAATCTCCCTACAAAATTTTAGTAATCCTGCAACAGTTACTCAAATAACTATTGTAGTTAGTTGCTTTTCAAGGACATTATGCCTGTGTACAGGTACACTGTATATGCATATTTCAAATTTGCCAAGATTCCAACTTTCCCCTCCACCCCAGGATGCAACCTCACAACAGTTGCAAAAAAAAAAAAAAAAAAAAAAAAAAAAAAAAAAAAAAAAAAAAAAAAAAAAAAAAAAAACTTTGGTACCTATCTATACAGACGAACAAAAGGAAGTGTGCCTAACCATTCGTGGCCCACCAAGAAATTTAAACTAGGTTCAAGGTAGACAGTGGCTATGGATTAATGGTCATACCTGCCTTTGCACAAACAAAAATCTAAATTTTTCATTATAGAATTACAGTATTAGTTTATGCAGAAAGAAAGATTTGAAACTAAGTGAACATTTATCATGTCCCTCTGGGGTGGAGGCCGTGTCTGGCACTTGTCAATGCCTGGTGCTGAACTATGCCAACTTCATGTTTTATCCTCTGGACATTTCAGTGTATTATCTTTATTTACATCCGAGAGCTTTAATATCCATCTTTACATCGAACATGTAAAGCCAAGATCAATTTTATATCTTCATATAATTAACTGCATTACCCTGAAAATCAACAATTTCCAATAACCGTTCTCCAAGTGGTTAATGTAGCCACTACAGTACTAAATTCAGTTTCATGAATGCTCATTTTATAGTCTAAATGCATAATTAGCTGGGCTAGATTTTAGAAACTCTTGCATCCAAACTAGACAATGATGCATGTTCATATGTAGCTACACACAAGGTTAGGCAAGAAAATATAAATATCTTTGTAGATACCTGTAGCCAGTTCCCAATTATAGTATTAGGTAACTGGCAATTTACTTTAAACCCAACATTTTTGCAACTGCAGTACTGTAATTTATAAGCAATTAAAGTAACTACATTCTAAAAGTAATAAATCTAAAAGAAGATTTGCTCTTTCTTCAGAATTCTCTGAAGCTTTCCCAATGTTGCTCAACTTTTGTACTAAACTGCCCAAACCTAACCTACTAAAGAATTCATGAACAGAAAACTGGACAGCATCACTTTTGCAAACCACTATTTTTAGTACATCAGTTTTTGACCTTTGGGAAATTGTCAAAATACAATGAACTACCTGTATTCAGAATGGGTTGCCTTATTATAATACAAGGTTGTGTTCACACAAAAGGAAGAATTAGATCTAAATCATACATCACTCAATATCAGTAATTACAAAGTCAATGATACAGAACTTTTGTCGAATTAAACACAAAGAATTTATAAGTTATTAAAAAAACTGGTCAAAATTAAAGTACATAAACTAATTTGGCATGTTATGTTACATGTTCCCTAAAATTGTACAGTTGCTCATGAAATTAAATTCCTATAAACCAAGATAGTTAATGCTGTCAAAAGTTTAAGAGGCGAAAGCAAATGCCAGAATTATGGATTAAAATATAAACCCAATCAAAAAGTTTATTAACCAAATTTTACAGAATGCTAAACCAATCGTTAATTGCTCAAAATTAACCAAGAAAACAAAGTGAAAATCAACACCCACCTCACACGTCAGAAATGTAAACAAATGCTCCCAAACAACAGAGCTGCCAATATACGCTAAATAAATTGCGTCTGCGGCCATTTTTTGTATTTATGTTAGGCCATTGAACACTTTAAAGGGTTAATCGTGTCAGAAGGACCACTCTGGGAGAGCTAAAATAACTAGAAACGACAACTGAGAGAGAGAAAATTTTCATCAAGTTGTCAATTGGGATCAGCTGAGAGGCCAAAACAAGGACGAACCGCCATGACAAATTACCTAAAATCTTGCCATCTTCTGCCGTCTGTCCCTCCCTGCCACCACCATTGCGGCCTCGCACACCCCCGCCGCCAGCCCCGACCCGCCATACTCACCCGGGAACACTATCAGCGCCGATGATCCCAGATAAAGAAAATTATTAGTCGTCCCCCGCCGCGTAATCAATATGGCGAGCAGCCTTAAATTCAGTTATCACTCGGGACGCCAAAAACACACTTTTCGCAGCGTTTTTCTATGTTCATATTGCACTAGGCGGGTCTCGTCTTAGTTGCCCCGGTGTGGCTGGCGCTCGGGCGGTGTTTGGAACATGGTAAAAGTTACTATGAAGTCGCTTATTGGGCGGATGAAAGCCTGCAAGTGATCATTCCTTTCTCACGAATCACGACGAAGGGAAGACCGTTGGATCCACCGTTTGTTGTTGCCTCGTGCCAAGTGCCTCGCTTCCTGCGCAATATTGCTAAATTCTCCACATATTTGTCCCTTTTGCCGCCTATTTACTCTCCTTAGTTATCCATACTAAGTTATCTTGCATCTCTTATTTATTTCCCATTCCACTGACACTATTTCGTTTACGGGAATGTGATATAATTAGGTGTGTAATGGGAAAAGTGGCAACCCTTCCTCCCAGCTGTCAAAAATGATAGAAAGTTGACGATAGTTTAAATTTCTTATTTATCTTTACAAATATATTCTTCCCTACGAATTACTATTAAAGCATACTACACTAAATTAAGTGTAATTACTTAATGAACAAAATTATAGACCTCCGTTGTTTTTAATACACTCGATCTATTATAATTTAAAATATACGAGACATAACGAATCTCTAATAATTGAAATTGAAATTGAAATAAGTTTATTGAGGTAAAATACACACAAAGGGATGAGGTAGCTCAAGCTATTCTCACCCCGTTCAGTACAACGTGTTAATATATACATATACACACATCACAAATAAACATATTACCAAACATTCTGAGAGGTAAAAATATACATTTCCTCCCTCACAAAGAGTATGGTATCAGACGTACACACAAATACTTTTATGACCTAGGTATACTGTATAGACAATTTGCAAGACACCTGCAGATAATTCAAAAAAATATTACAATCTTGGTGCAAAATTCTTATATCTCTCAAGAATATCATCAACCTTTCCGTTGTGACACATCCAGGCTATTTGTTCAGGAACAGTCCTTATCTCAGTGTTTCTATATACACTAATCAACGGACAATCAAGAATATAATGGGCAAGGGTGTGAGACCTTAACATACCACATAGTTTACACTTCGTGTCATTACCATGAACATCTATCCCATATTCCCAGTAATATTTGTACCCAAGCCTGAGCCGCATGTACACAGAGTCACTCCAAGCATTTCTCCTTTTACCATAAGTGAAATGGGTGTTTTGACTCACATACATGTAGTGTTGCATGGTTTGACTACTCTCATACATTATCTCTCTCCTCTCCACTCCCGCCTGTGCCTGAATATTTCTGATTTTGCTTCTTATTTGTCTCATTGTGAATTCACATTCGATGTCAACTTGTGGTTTTGATGTGGCACGTTTGGCCAAGTCATCCGCCACCTCGTTGAGCACTATTCCAACATGAGATGGAATCCACATGAATTTCACACTATAACCTTTCAGCTGTATCTCAGTTATTCTTCTCTTACAGTCCTCCACTATAGACATGAAGACTGGGTTTCTACTGTTTAAGGACTCCAGTGCTCCTCGGCTATCGACAAATACAAAAACATTTTTGTCGTCATGACGTACTTCCTCCAAACACGCCAGAATGGCCTGCAGTTCAGCTTGTGTGGATGATATATAATTACTAAGCCGGAGTTCAATTATCCTGTCCACAGTCCCAAACTCCGTATAATCCCTTATTAGGACACCACACCCTGCCCTGCCATCCTCCGCCACCGACCCGTCGCAATATACATGTAAACTGTTGCCTCTTGGTAACCGAGATATCATGCTTCCATACAAACACCGTAATTGTCCCGGTTCATGATGAATCTTTTTCACCTTGAGGGGTACAATTTCGACGTCTATTTTCTGTACTTTCCAGGGAGCAGACATATTACACTTTCGAGAGGGTTTACAGCAGTCAAGTACGTCGTATTCCCTGAGGTCATGAGCTAATCCTCTCGTATAGCGAGTCTCCCTCAGTTTCCTGGAAGTGTGTACGTCACTCAAGCAGGTCTGGACGCTCTCAAACAGCTTATCCCCTCCTTTTCTCCGCATGAAACGAATAGATACTCTAGTGTTAATGTCACGGACTCTATCACACACACTCTGTAAATTTAATTCCATTCTCATTATTTCAATCATTGCATTTCTTTGACATCCAAGAATAATCCTCATAGCCTCGTTCTGTATCAGCTCTATTTTTTGAATTCTGCCTTGGCCTGTGTAAGACAATACGGGTGCTGCGTAGTCTATCAGGGATCGAACAGTGCTTATGTATAACATCCGCAAGATAGGTACACCAACACCTTTACCAGAAAAAGCCAGTGCTTTTAGAGGATGCAGACGGGCTTTACATAAGGTGCTGATATGATTTATTTCAGCATTTTTACTCTCACATGTGTATCCAACATACATGCCCAGATACTTGTACTTCTGTACACGGCTCAGTTCCACACCATTTAGAGTAAGTGTTATATTTCTTCGTTTCCTATACTCGTATTTGGTTTTATCTGCATTTATAACTAAGCCTAACTTGTGACAGGTTGTACCAAGTATGTGAAGAGCATCTTGAATTTTGTTCCCAGAAGTGCCTTGTATAAGAATGTCATCAGCATATATGATCGTCGTGACCCCTGGAGGATACATCTCTGATGCTAATCTGTTCATTAATACATTGAATAAGGTGGGACTTAATACTCCCCCTTGTGGGGTACCTAACTGAAACCTCCGTTCCTCAGACATGTATCCCTGGTAATACACCTGACCTTTTCTGCCTTGCAGGTAATCCCTTATCCAGTGTAGCAATCTCCCTGTTATTCCCAGATTGGCTAATTCGTATAAGATTACTTCCCCATTGGCTTTATCAAACGCTCCTTGTAGATCAACAAAAACTCTACAATTGTCATCCACATTAGACAAACACTTTAAGAGACAATCCGCAGTACTTTTGCCTTTGATAAAACCAAAGAGATTATTGGACATGTTATCACCTACAAGGTAGAGTAGCCTATTTAACAAAATCCTTTCCATCATTTTACAAAAGCAGGATATTAAGGAGACAGGTCTGTAGCCTCCGTTTGACTTAGGGATAGGAATGATGACAGCCTCTTTCCATTTTCTTGGTAACTTTCCCTCTCTATAACTCATATTAAACAAATCAAGTAAGGGATTAGGTTTCATACCGGCTAAATAATTAAGTATGTCATACGTTACTCCATCTTTTCCCGGAGCAGTGGAGCTGCCACTTTTTATAGCATCCAGTAGCTCATCGTGGGTTATCTCAGTGCATGCTATAGATCTTGTATTTAAGGCACATAAAGTTACTCCATTTCTAATATTTTCCCATGACTCAATGGTGACTCTCGTGTCTGCAGGTAAGGACTCCATACCAGCAGCACTTGCCCATTTATCTACTAACTCATTAGCAACTTTCCCTGGATCTGAGTGAGCAATGAATTTAGTCTTACAACCCCTGACTTTATTTACTGCTCTCCATATGTCTTTAAGGTTCTTAGTATTACCAATGGCCTGAGCAAAGTCTTGCCAGTATCTGTCCCGCGCCTCCTTCCTCACCTGACTGCATTCCCTAGCCACTTCCAACATTGTATTTTTCTCTTCATCCCTCATTCCATTTTTTAACCATGCTTTATGCGCACCCCGTAGCATTCTCTCCCATCCCTTGACTTGCTGATCATTGGAATATTTAAATTTCTTAGGTCCGTGCGTCTTGCTTCCCCTGCCCCCGTTATTTTCCCTCTGTACTAATTTCTCTATGTTCTCGACCATGTCCTCGTAAAAACTATCAACGCAGAGCGGCGTGTAATGTTGATACCAATCTCCCATATTTTGAATAAAATAATTTTTCATATCTTTCTTAATATTTAGCCTTTTCCTTTGAAAGTGGACTTGTTTTTTCCCCAGTGGTAATTCAACGTTCAAGGCAAAGTGGTCACTAAGTAGTTCCCGAACAACCCGAGCCTCCCCCATAATCCCCTGAGAGTTTAAAACGTAGGCATAGTCAAGCCGTCCTCCCCTGATGTGAGTTGGTTCATTGTTTCCCAATAGACAGGTATCTGGATGATCTTGTAGAAACTGTAACCACTTGACCCCATTAGTATTAATACTACCCACTGTCCCAAGGCTTGTGTGCCGAGCATTAAGGTCCCCAATGACCAGTGAAGGATTAGTATAAATGCAGTCAGGTAAATAGTTAGCGTCGAAGCAGTTCCTGGATACATACAAATTAACTACAATAAATTCCCCTTCCCTTAATGATAATTTAACACAGACACTCTCTATACCTTGCGTTTTTGATGGCGGTTCTACTAACTCTGCTGGTATGGAGTTCTTAACATAAATCGACGTGCCTCTGATGTTATTTGCGGCGAAGAGGTGAAACCCTTTATAGCCATTTAATTTCAATAATCCTTCATTCCTATCCCCTGTCTCCTGGAGAGCTACAACATCAATATCATTTCCCATCACATAACAATGAACATCTGTAACCCTGTTTCTCAAACCATTAACATTCCATGACAACACTTTCAGTCTAGGGTGATCCATTATTAATCAATTCATTGCCTAAGTCATCCCCAATAAGTTCACTAAATGATAGCCATACCTTGTATAACATCTCCCACCTCCTCCCAAGTTCACCAGTAAAAGCGACATTGCGATTCTCAAGAGATTTTTTCAGCCCTGAGATGTCCATTATTGGCCCAAATGATTCCTTCATTTTATGTGTAATTATAGGGTTCTTCCTTTCACTACGACTACCATCATTCACACACACTTCACTTTCCTTCATTTCATCACTCAATATTTCATTTTTGTCCTCAACCACTATATCCTGACTATCCTTCACCGTTTTGTGATTTTCCTTGACCTCCTGAACGTTTAATTTAGCCTCGATGGACTCGATTCTCTGCCCCAGATTTTGGAGGAACTCACCAACTTTTTTAAGTTCAGCCCACACTTCCTTGACCATATTATTATGACCCTCTCTCTGAGCCACAGTAGCCACTTCACTCACCGTTACACTGTCACTGCCGGAGTCCTGAGTGGTGGCGTGGCTGCTTGTTGCTGGAGCCTGCCTAAGTAAAGGTGACTCCTTTACCCACGCATTCGTCCGGTTCACTGGCACTGTTTGGGGCAGACTGTTTTGCTGTGCTCCCGGTGTCTGGGTAAGAGCTCTTGCTTGCTCTGTAACATTCACCGGCCGGAGAACAGCCATACTCGGCCTCTTGCTACACACAGCCGAGCTCGCATTGTGAACACCTCCACAGTTGCAGCATCTGGGAACTATTTTCTCACCCAGA